TGGGTCGTTCTGCAGGCTCCAGGGAGGTCAGAGTCCTGCTTGAACATGCCCATCCGAGCACTGCCTGTGACCCTAGCTTCCCAGGCCTCCCACTCCTCCTGGGTAACTCCTATCACCAGTTTTGGTGGTGGAGTGGGCAGAAGGCCCTTGATGTCGACCAGCTTCCTTCTGCCCTGCACAGCACAGCACAGCACAGCCCCAAGAAAATATGGGTGGGATTGGGAGCTGCGGCAGAAAAAAGCTGCCTAAGAGAGGATGGGTGTCCAGTCCTGCGGGCAATGAGACCCTCGCAGGATCACAAAGCCTTGGCCACAAACACCTTGTGCCCAACAGACCCCCTCCTGTGCCCCTCCAGGGCCTCTCTCTCCCTTGCTCACTTCCCTCCCTCCCTCCCTCTCTGCCGCTAGCAGCTGCAGCTTCTGCCACCTCAGCAACTCCTAAATAGACCAATTAGCTCGGACTTCCTGCCATTATCTAACATGGATTTGGACATTAGTGCGCTACTATTCAGCCATAATTTCGAGTCAGAATGCACTAAAAAATTCACTCACTGGAGCATTAAAATGTTCCTGGGAAACATCTGCCCCAGTATTTGGGCTTCCTCCCTGCATGTTTTACCCCCTCCCCACAGCCTGTCAGTCCTATCCCAGTGCAGGACTGTGGTAGCCTGCGGTTTGCTGATTTGTTGTGTGCCTGTGCATGTTTGTCCCAGTTGGCAGAGGTGTCCTGTAATGTGACCTCCTCCTGCTGCCTGGAGGTCAGGCAGACTGTGGGTTAGAAAGGTGTGCTCACGCTACGGGGGACAACTCCAGGGAGCCTTTGCAAACCAAGTCCTCGGTTACTAAACATATCTTACGCAGGAGCCGGGAGCTGGGCATCACTGTTCTCAGCTTCAAACAGACTCCTCCATGCAAGGCTCACCAATGAGCAGCCAGCACTCTTGGAGAGGGCGGCGGCATGGTGCCTCATTCTGATGCTCACCACCTGAGGCATTTGCTATTCACTCAGTCCTGAGCCCCGTGACCCTGAAATAAAATAAATAAAAATCCTGCAACAAAAGCACAGGGTTCCTAGAAGTCTTTCCTTTCTGCTGACAGTGTGGTTCCCCACAGGATTAAGGGTGCTCAGGTGACCCCCACCCCTATTTGTTTCTGTGCCTGACCCTGAGCTTTCAGTTTGCAGCAGAAGCCAGGAACACTTTGAGTTCCCAGGTCAGAAGGAGCAGGCTGGGAAGCTGGAAGCTGCCCACACTCTGGGCATAAAGCAGACAGCTAGGTGCTTGGTGAAATTTCCCAAAGGAGGGGACCCAGGAGGTACTGGGCTGGACACATTTGTTTACAGCAGCCTCCCCCTAACCCTCACCAGGTCCATTGGGCTTTCAGCTTGCATTGAGAGCTGGCCAGGACAGTCAGTGACACCCCAGGGCTAGGTGCAGGTGTTCTCAGGAAGGTAGGGTCAAGGGTAAGGGTGACAGGAAAAGCAGCTGTGCAGGGAGAGGCAGGAGAAAGACGGAGCTGTACAGACACAGCCCTTCTTGGGGATGGGTATTGGGGTGCAGATCCAGGGTTCCTGAGTCTCCTCCCGGACCCCTTTAAAAGCTGCCTCCAGGGCAGATCAAAGGATAGAATTAGGGACTTTGTGCCTTTGGCCCTGGCTCTGCTGGGCTGGGCCAAGTGGGGAGAACTGGTGCATCTTCCCACTGGCCCCGGGTCACCTTCCAGTGACCCAGCTGAGGCTTCTCCCCCGGGTGCTGAGGAGGACGTGGGTCTCCCATGGGGTGGGTCCAGCACTCACCCTTCCCTTCCTCGTCTTCCTGCCCCACTGCTTCTCCAACAAATCTCGCTGTCACTAGGGCCTGTGTCCCAGCCTCCGGTCTGGCCGGTCACATAGCGTCCCCAGCCAGTCTTCCCGGAGTGAGGGATGTCTAGAGTGCTTAAACTGAAGCAGAAGGGAGTTACCCCCGGAAGCCGCATGCCACAGGCTCCCTTCTCAGGAGGCCCCGGGTTTCAGCTCCTCAGCAAAGGGAAGGTGGCAAGGGCACTGAGGGACGGGATGGAGGAAAGCTACCCTCTCCCCTGTCCTCAGCCCTGAGGAGCCGCTGCAGCCTCTCTGTACCTCACGTGTTTTTCACTGAAGGGAAGCAATGTATAAATGACAGTGAGGGGACCTCCCACCTCCCAGTTGTGACTATGTGAATATCTAGGTTTGGTTCCAAGTCCTGGAAGCTTCCCAACTTGGTGCCTAAATCCAGGGTGAACAGACATGGATTGCTTTCTCTTTTGCAGCCATTTGTATAAACCACACATCTCCCTCCCAAGGAGCAGAAGGAGTCCTGGCTACAGGCAGTATTCAGTGACCTGACCCCCAATCCAAGAAAGGAACTTCAAGTCAGGTGGGAGGGCAGCGAGGGACACCAGGTCTCCACCTCCAGGAGAAGCCACTCTCCCTGGGCTGCGGAGACACAGGGCTGGGAGCCCCTGGTGGATGAACTGGACCTTTGATCTCTCATCTGGGCTCTTCCCAAGCACCGAGGGAACTCCAGTCCAGCTAGGTTGGGTCAATCCACGTTCGAGTGGCCGGAAGAGACCCAGCATGCTAGCTTCACACCTTGTAAACCACACAAAGATCCCAAACTTCCAGACAGCTCCCTCTCCAACTGCCCCCACACAATCGATAAAGCCCCTCCACTTGGAGCTCTGATTCTCAGACAAACACTGTCTCATCACTCCTGGACCCTCTGCTCCAGAGTCTGTTCACCTTCTACTTTTCCAAACGAAGGCACAAACTGTGATGTCAGGGATCACAGGTAAGGCCCAGCCCTGCAGCAGAGGGCCCCACAGGAGGGTTGCCACAGAGCACTGGCCTCTGCCTTTCCCCCCCAGGTGGCGCTCCCCACGGATCCGGCAGTTGGGGCGGTGGTGAGGGATTTGGGAGCACGGTTACTGCAGAAGGAAAGGCGGCAATGAATTCCTCTGGGACTTTATGGAAACGAAGGACGATTCTTCAAAGGAAGCAGCACCCTTTGCAGTCTGGACCTTGCTTCCCCACCCACTGGAGCCCTGGTTTTAGGTTGGAGGGGTGGGAGGGCAGGTTCTGGGGATCCGTCCATCTCAAGTCTTTGCAGCCGCTCCCTTTCTCCAGATTCTGAACCCTTTCCCTGGGAACTTGCCCCCGGGGTGAGGTGGGGAAGGTGGGTCCTGAAGGGGGTGGGGCCTCGGCTGCCCTCTGCCCTGGGAGCAGGGACAGCCCCTGGCTTCCTGCCCAGAGTGGGTGGCCCAGAACCTCAGCCTCCCCTACCGGCCATCCTGGGCAGCAGCGGAGGCTCCTGTGGCCCGGGCAGTCAGACTTGTCCCAACCCAACTCTGAGACTTCCCTGTTGTTGAGGCCAAGTCTCAGCCTCTTGGAACCTGATTCCTAGAAGATGGAGATAACAAAAACCCTCCTCTTCTGTCACAGTGAAGATGAAGGAAGATGATTATAGGCGTGGTGGTGCACACCTGTGATCGCAACACTCAGGAGGCTGAGGCAGGAGGATCACTGAGAGCTGGAGGCCAGCCTGAACTACACAGAGAGACCCTGTAACAAAAGACAAACAAAAACCAAAAAAAGAAAAAGCACATGGCACAGAGGAAGTATTGAGGACATGTGTTCCCTGTTCCCCTCAGAAGCAGCACTGCCGTTATCACCCCAGAGAGACAGCATCTAAAGACACAGACTATGTAAAATGCACTAGAATTTCTATTATCTTGCCATCACCTTTTGCAAATCTGTGGGCATTTATTCCTGGAGCTGTTGCTGACCTCCTGACCCTCCAAGGGTGCCCTGTATTGCAGAGCTCCCCTCTGTCAGAGGAGAAAGAAAGCTCCCTCTTGCCAGCAAGGCCCCGTTACCAGTTTTCACTCCTCAAACCCCCTTTAAACCCCCTCTTACAGCAATCCCGCCTGCTTCGGAGAAGGTCTGTCTGGCGCAGGTCTCCGGCGCAGGTCTCCTCTGGCCCCGCCTGCCGCCCTTCCCACCCTTGGGCCCTTCACCTGCACCGGAAGCCCGCCCCACCCCGTGGGAAGCGCACTCTGTCGGAGCTGCGGACACAGCCTGGTGCTGGTGACCGCTTGACTTCCCGACCTGCCTGTTGATTCTTTCGGCTTCCAGAAAGCCCTTGGAAGTGATCTTACTGTAAATATTTGATGCGTGCGAAGGGGGTCTGGATTCTTGCTCCACTGCAGTGCCCAGCCCCGGGAAGCCCTTTCTTCTGATTCCCCAGGCTGCTGGGCAGTCGGGGAGCCTGCGTTTACCGCTCTGTCGAGGTGGGTGGGCCGCCGCCAGCTGCCCACTAGCCTCCTCTGCAGGGAGGAAGAGCTTCGTCTCCAGGACCAGCTAGGTGGCCCAAGGGCGAAGTCTCCGAGCTGCAGTGGGTGCTACAGGCCCAGGGCACACAGCCTCTGTGCTCCTTCCCTTGCGCGGAGGAGGGGGAAAGAATCCCGGGGATAACCGGGGGCGCCAAGCTCGAGCTCCCACGCACATTTACACACACCGCCGAGGCGCTCAGGACTTTCCGGGCAGGTGTGCAGCCTCGACCAACACAGGGCTAGCGACAGAGACACAGAGCGCCCGGGTGTGCCCTGGCGATCTAGGACCGCGAGGGCGGGACAGCCCGGCTCCCCGAGACACGCATGGACAAACTCGGGGGCCGCTGCCCAGGGAACGGAGACAAGAGCCCGCCCGGGTGCCCTGGAGCGGGTCTCGGGCGCGCGGGGACACACGGCGCCGGCTGCGTCTTCCCACCCAGGCGCCGACCCCGCGTGGCCGCCGTTCTCACGCGGGTGTTTAGGACCTGGCGGTGCAGGGGCGGGGCGGCGGGCGGGACGGTGACAGGTGCGGCCTTTGGCCAATCGCTGGCCCTGCGCCCCTCCCGCGCCCCCGCCGCGCGCGCCAATCCTCGGCCGCGCTGCACTTCAAGTGCGCGGAGGGACGCGGGTCTGGGCCCCTGCGGCCTCGGCTCTCCAAGCGGCTGCAGCAGAGTGGCACCGGTCCGACGCGCCGTGGCCGCGTGGGACGCGCTTCGGGCGCGAGTGGGCGCGGAGGGCGCAGCCCGCGCGGGGCCAGCACCAGGAGGCGCGGGCCATGGTGGCGCTCGGCTGAGTCCGGCGGGGATTTCGATTCCCGGGGATTCGGCGCTGTCGCACCCCTTGCCGGGCACCGACGCCTCGCATCGCCCGAGCGCGCCCATGGAAAAATCCAAGAATTTCCGCATCGACGCGCTGCTGGCCGTGGACCCCCCGCGTGCCGCCTCGGCGCAGACCGCGCCGCTGGCGCTAGTGGCCTCGCTGGCTGCTGCGGGCTCGGGCCCCGGCGGCGGGGCGAGTGGCGAGCGCAGTCCGGGGCCCTCTGAGCCGCCCGCCGCCCACGCACGCGCCGAGAGCCCCGAGCCGCCGCGCCTGCCGGCCTCTCACTGCGCGCTGCTGCCCAAGCCCAGCTTCCTGAGCGCGGGCAGCGGGGCCGGGCCCGGGCCCGGGGGTCCTCCCCACCACGCGCACCCCGCCGCCGTGGCCGCCGCCGCCGCGGCCGCCGCCGCCGCGGGAGGCCTGGCCCTGGGGCTACATCCTGGGGGCGCGCAAGGTGGTGCGGGGCTCCCGGCCGCTCAGGCGGCGCTCTATGGCCACTCAGTCTACGGCTACTCGGCGGCGGCAGCGGCAGCAGCCCTGGCCGGCCAGCACCCCGCGCTGTCCTACTCGTACCCGCAGGTGCAGGGGGCGCACCCTACGCACCCCGCCGACCCCATCAAGCTAGGCGCCGGCAGCTTCCCGCTGGACCAGTGGCTTCGCGCGTCCACCGCGGGTATGATACTGCCCAAGATGCCGGACTTCAACTGTGAGTACCGAGCCGCACATCCCCTTCGCCCTCGGCCAGGCGCTCGCGGGGAAACTCAGTGCAGCCCCGGGTTCCCGGCCTGCGTGGGTGGCCGTGAACGATCAAGATGGCCCCGGCGCAGGCCGGGCCTTCTCTTCCTTTCTTAGCGGGAAGGGGTAGCTGGAGGTGTGAGACTGAAATGTAATGATTAACCTGAAGGCTGCAGAAGGAAGTGTCGAGGGAATGAGAGGCTGGGAGCGCCCTGAGTTAGGCAGCCTGGGAATGAGGATCACGGACTCCCCCCCCCCCCCACACACACTCTGCGTTCTTCCTTGGGAAAAGGAGTTTGGCCTGGGTTCCCCGTTTTGGGCTCTAGACAGACCCTGATCCCTCCCGGGAAAGGTATACTCTGGGCCAGCAAAGGAGAGAAATGAGCTCAGAGAGGTTCACGACTGCCAGGCTGTGCCCAGGCAACCCCTGGCCCTTGGCTGCCCTCCTGCAGAAGGGCATGGGGTCCCGTGGGATGCACGAAAGCCCTGGCTCTCAGGCCAAGCAGCAGGTACCTGCATCCGAAGTCAAGGCATAGTGAGGCACTCCCGGAGGTGGGAATTAGGAAGGGCCAGCCACCCCCAAACCAGAGCAGCTGAGCTTTGAGGAACCTGTAAAAGGCCTGGGTGCCGGCTTGCTCCGCCTGCTTTGGGCTCCCAGCTCCAGTCCTCCAGTCTGCGCCCCACCCGGGTTGGCTGCCCTCTAGTCAGGCGGGAGCAGATGCTGTGTATGGCTTTATGCCTCTAGCTGCCCAGCACCCAAACAAAGAGACCCCACTGTTTTCATCTGAGTGGATTTGTTTAGACTGGGGAGATGCAGGCCTGGGAGGGAAAAAAGGCAAAAAGAAAACAGAAATAAACACTTGCCAGAATTCAGATTCCTCTGCTAGAAGCTGAGGTTGTGACTAAACAGAGAAAAGCTAAGACCCCAGAGTGCTGGAGAAGTCGCAAAGGAGTGAGAGAATCCCTGCTGCCCACTGTTTGCCCACAGCCACCCCCAGCTTTTCCCAGCTTGGCTCCAAGAAGACCCCAACGACCTGTGTCTCTTCCCTACCCACTCCCTCAAAAGAAGAGGGAAGGCTCCCCCTTGCTTGGACGTCCCACAGGTTTGCTGATTGGTGCCCAAAGCCAGGGGACCCTGTGGGTCTGGCCGTGGAGCCCAACAGACCCCTCCACCGAGAGCTGCCCCTTGACCCTCGTTTCCTGGACCTGGTATCCTTAGTTGTCCATGGAGGGGACCCTCGAAGGCCTCCAAGTGGGGTGGGTTCCCAGGCTACCCAGGTGCTTCTTAGGGCCTTGGTAGAACCTTAGGTCACTCCAAATCGATGGATGAGGGAGCCCTTGGCCACACGCTTTATCCATCTCTAATTGCTGATCTTGCCTAATGAAAACTGCAGCTAGTTCTAAGGTTGGGAAAGGAATCTGAGCCCCATCACCCCAAAGGGCAATCAGAAATGCAGGCAGCGCGTCGGAATGTGTGTTCCAAGAGGCTCCTCTCTTCCCCTGGAGAACCTGCTTGGTTTCCTTTAATTGGTTGTCTCTGCCCGTTGGATGGCATTTCCCAAAGGGTCCCTCCAGAGCCGGTGTTTTAATTAAAGTTCTAATGTATTGTCAAGTTGGGAATTCAGGGCCTTGTTTGACTAAAGCAGGGGGCGTGGGCCTTCCTATAAAGCAAATTGCCCCTCCCCGGGGAACCTGAGCTCATCCCGCCGGCCTGGCCTCCTTTCTTTCCTCCTCTTTCTTTCTTTTATTGTCTAACACTTGTCAGACTCCTGGGAAATCAAGGGAAGGCTCCTTTTGAGGTCATAAAATCCTCTGTGATGTAACCGTGCGAAATTATGTAAATAAAGCCTCCAAGGCCTCCTGGAACACACAGCCGGATCCGCCCATGCCTCAGCCTGTAATTTGGTAATGAGGGTCGCCCAGAGTGGGCTTCCCATCTCCTCAGGCCTTGCACCCCAGCAGGGGGCTTATCAAGAAGAATATTGGAAATGTGGGAGATCTCTGATGAATAACATATTTAGTCTTTTTCCTTCTTCCTTTTCGTTCCTCCTCCTGCTTTAAAGAGGTGGCACTGGGAACTCACATTGGGAGGCTTGCTGTTCCCTAACCTGTGTTCCTGAGTTGGGGGCTGGGAGCTGAGGGCCTGGAGGTTTGGTCCCCCGCCCCCCGCCAGCACCCCTCTGACTTCTGGGAACCCTGTTCCTTCCTGAGTTGACCCAGTCCAGAGCCAGAGGGAGCAGCAGTAGACAGAAAGCAAAAGTCCCACTGAGCCCAAATCCCACCCAGCTCTGGGTCTAAGCCGCAGTTCCTGGCACAGAATGGGGGTGCCCTGAGCTCTAGGCATCCATGCTCCTCCAAGGGGGCTCACACCATCTCACCCCACAGCCCAGGCACAGTCGAGCCTCCTGGGAAAGTGTCGTCGGCCACGCACAGCCTTCACCAGCCAGCAGCTGCTGGAGCTCGAGCACCAGTTCAAGCTCAACAAGTACCTGTCGAGGCCCAAGCGCTTCGAGGTGGCCACCTCGCTTATGCTCACGGAGACCCAGGTGCGCTGCCGCTCCCACCCCATGCAGGCTGGCCTCCCAGGGGAAGCAGTCACTGCTGCCTTCTTGGGGACCCGAGGATGAGGATGAGCCTCTTGACCCTAGATGCAGATTGAGACTCCAGGGGAGGTTCACAGCAGGCGCAGCGTATCTTTGTATGCACCCAGATGTCCGGCTCAGTAGACTGGGTTGGGACAGACAATCTGCATCCTCCCCCTTTCTAAGGAAGGCACTCCTGGGGCCACAGTGGAGAAATTTCATTCCAGAGAGAGAGGAGGGGTGGCCTGAGATTGACTGCCCTGGCCTTGCTGCAGGCGGAGGGTGCAAGTAGAAAGCTGGGGACAGCCTGTCTCTGAGGACACACACCCCCCCACACACACACACACCACACACACACACACACACACCCCGCCTGCCTGCCCGCCCGCTCTGGGGACGCAGCCTGGCTCAGAGATGGGCTGCTTCGTAGGGAGATGGGAGGCAGGGAGGTCCTGTCGAGGTTGCCACCTCGGGGACCAAGTGTGGGTCCCTCATGCCTGCAGGTTAAGATCTGGTTCCAGAACCGGCGGATGAAATGGAAGCGCAGCAAGAAGGCCAAGGAGCAGGCAGCACAGGAGGCTGAGAAGCAGAAGGGTGGCCCAGGTGTGGGCAGGGAGGACAAGGGTGAGGAGGAGCTGCTGGGGCCGCCCACGCCTGGGGATCAGAGCGCTGGCCGCCGCCTTCGGGACTTGAGGGACAGTGACCCAGAGGAGGACGAGGATGAGGAGGAGGAGGACACGTTTCCCTACAGCAACGGCACGGGTGCCCTGCCCGCCGCCTCTGACTGCTCCTCAGAGGATGAGTGTCCCCCGCTGCAGTAGGGTCCCTGACGGCCACGGGGCCGCCCAAGGGACAGCTAGGCGGCCGACGGACTGGCACTTTCTAACAGTTTCTGGCGGTGCTGGGGGGAGGCTTGAGGGAAGCACAGAGCTCCTCCCGGCCCTGCACCCCTTCCTTCCTCACCGGCTGGCTGGCTGGCGGATGCAACAGTGTTAAGTGACCTCTGAAACTTGAAACCTCTCTGGAAATGCCATTCTGCAGTATGAAAGAGAAAGGGGTTTTATGCTTCTGTATCTTAGGAGGGAAAACGTATGTCATGAGCATTCAAACTGCTGGAAATCTCAAAACTGTACTGTCTTTATTTTTGTACATTGTATTTATATATAAAGAAAGAAACGTCTACTTATGCATGCTAAATTATTATTTAGCTTCTCCCATCACCCAGGGTGGAATGTAAAATAAATTGGTTTTTTACTGGATGTGAGTGCAAATTTTCTGCAGGCACACGAGGCAGCTTTTTGATTTCACTTGTTGAAAGGATGCAGGAGAGGGGTTTCTCCATTAAAAGAATCGCAGGATGTCTGGACACCTCTGCTTTGGGGCCCTGATGAAACCTGACTCTTGCAGTTGGGGGTTGAAGGTGCCAAGTGTTCATAAAAACATCTGTGGCCAGGGCCAGGGATTTAGCTCAGTCGAGGTGGGGATTTAGCTCAGTGGCATGGCGCCTGCTCAGAAGCGAAAGGTCCGCAGTTTGATCCCAGATACCAAAAAAAAAACAAACAAAAACCTGTGGCCAGGTGACACGCCCCCCCCCCCCCAGTGCTAGATAGCGCTCTGCTCTCGGTTGCCTAACTTTGGACTCACTGTGTTTATTTTCCTCTTTCCTTGCTGAGTTGTCTTGCTTCCTCGATGTTCCTGGGTGGAAATAACGCTGTTTGAATGCTTTGGGACATAAGCTTCAAACAGCTAGATGTTGGCATTTGGGCTCCCGGCAACCTCAGGCACTACTTGCAGTTCCCGGAGTGCATGGAATTGTGTGGGGCTTCTTTCTCTTTTCCAGGCAGAACCTTCTGTGTGCCAGCCAGGCAAGCTTGTCTTGGATCTGTGCAAATGTCCGAGAGTGCACAGGCAGGTGGCAGGGACATTCTGCCAGGCTGGACGGCTAGGGGTTAATGAGCCTCTGCAGCACCTGCCATCAATCAGCAGGCAGCCAGGCTGTGCGCTGGGTGTGGAGCACGTGCTGGCCACCTGAGGGGCGGGGTCTCCTCACCTGGAGCTGCTCCTGCTCCCCATCACTGGCCCAGTGGCCAGTCATGGGCCTGGCCAGAGACGCAGGGGTCGAGCACCACATGTTTCCAGCCCGAGCTCTCTGCCCTTCCTCTGGCCGTCGCTTTTGCAGCCGCACCCTCAGAGCCCCTGCCCGCTCCCCTTGCTGCCAAGGGATGCGTTCAGAAAAGCCTGAGCAGCGTCTCCTTTGGGTGGTTGCTGGGACAGGCAGGGTCCCCTGCACCTCTGACGGGGATTACTGTCCTCCCGGGCAGCTCCTTCTCTTCCGGGCTCCCTGCTTAAAACCCAACCAGGTGAGGTGGGATGCAGTGCAGGGAGCCAGGCAGAGCGGCTGTTGGGCAGGCAGCCCCCACCCCCACCTCAGAACTGGGACAGGGTTTGCAACCACTGGAAAAGGGAGAGGGCTGCGGAGAGAGTGGGAAAATCTCCCAGCCTCCCAGAGAGGGCACGGAGAAGGAACACAGATGTTTAGGGAGCTTAGAAACTGCCGCCCGAGTATGTATCTCGTTATAATCTCTAACACATTGTCGAGGTTCAGCCTGAAGCAAAATCTTCCTGGCTGGCCAACATCTGGGGTTGTTTTTTCCAGAGCTCAGCCAGCCTGGCCTCAACACCCCCTGCAACACCTGGGCAGCAGGGAAGGGGCTGGTCCTGGAGAGGGCCCGTGAGCACCCTGCCTGTAAGTCACACTTGGTGCCAAAGGCCCCAGTGAGGTTTGTCCCTCCATTCCAGGGACAGATGCCCCTGGGACAGAGGAAAGAAGGGCATTGAGAGGACACAGCCCTGATTCCCCAGCCGCCCAGTCTTGCTAGCAAAGCCTGGATGTGGCACAGGGACCTCCGCTGTCCCCAGCCTCTCCAGCCAGATGCTTAATCCAAGTGGAATTTATCTCACTAATAAATTTAATGATCAATTCGTTCTTGTCACAGTAGCTCTTCCCCAAATCAATTATAGCAAATTTAAATATAATCACTGGCTCATCCTCACCCCCTTCGGGGCACCTCAAACAATTCATTCTGCCTAATGAATGGTCACCGGTTTGTCTCAGCCCAACAGGGCCTCTGTGCTGTAGGAGTCTTTGCAGCCCCAAGGACCCCGGTTCTCAGGACCCAGAGGCAGCCCTGACTCCACAGCAGGAGGCAGGGGGAAGAGTTCCAGGCCGGGTTCCCAGGCAGCCCCTCCACCCTGTACCCCAGCAGGTAAGCACACTGCCTTGGCACTGTGACTACAGGACTATGACAATAAGGACAACAGGACTGGGTCCCCACCCTGAGGTGATCACCTCTGGGACTCCAGCCCCGCTGCACCTCTCCAGAGGCACAACTCTTGGAACTCGTTTTCTAGGATCCAGGAGAGTTTCTCACAAAAGCAGGCAGATAAATTCTTTTTTGTGACAGGAGGATGCCTGTCCAGCCTGGTTGCTTGTGAGAGGCCCCACGGAGATAGATGACGTCTGGGCCGGGGAAGTGCAGAAAAGAAAAGGCTGTGGGCCTGACCCCTCAGCGCGCTAGCCTCTGCCTTCCTGGGGCTCTGGACTCAGCTTGGAAAGAGCAGCTCGTCAGATTCTCAGACCCCAAAAGCATAGGCAAAAAATCAAAACCAGACAAATGGGTTACATCAAATGGGAAAGCGCCCACGCCACCAGGGTCTACCTAGGAAGGGAGAAGCATTTGCCAACCTCCTCCATCTGGTGATGGGTCAACGCCCAGAACACATGAAGAGCTCCTACCAGAACTATGGCGCGTAAAATGTGCACAAAGGACCGAAGCAGACAGTTCTCCTAGGAAGGCAGACAGATGGCCGTTAGGGACAGGGAAAGACAGCAACCCTCTTCAACCCAGCCCTAAGCCTTGCTGACATCACTTCACAGGAAGCAGTGGGCTGTGGGAAACTGGAACCCTGCCCACGTACACGGGTGGGAATGTGAAATGGTTCGGCTTTTTTGGAAGCAAGCCAGGAAGGGTCCACAATGTGGGAAGCAGGACGCCCTGCGCTGCAGCAGCTGGTGCTGCTGTGTACTCGCGAGGATTCGGGGATTCGGAGCCAGACCTCAAAGAGAAGCCTGCACGTTCCAGCTCCTCCCAGCATTCGGGTCGGAAACCTCCTGACCACGACTGCCCATCAGCAACAAGGGACAAGTGGAATGCTTCCCCTGGGTGTTACCTGGCCTCCCCGAAGGGCAATCCTGCCACACAGTGTGGCATGGAGGGACCCGAGGACATCCTGCTAAGTGAACCAGACCAGCCAGGGAAGGGCAGAGTCTGCAGGATGCCCCTTCCATGAGGTACCGTTTGCCACCAGAGCTGAGCCCTTAGGAGAATAGGGGTGTGAGGGGCTGGTGAGAAGGGGGCTGGGAGCTCCAGGTTATGGGGCAATCTACGATTTGGGGAGACAGAGAAGTCCCGGCCTCTGTCCTCTCAGAGCGGTGTGCACACACCTGCACTCTCGAGATGGTCTCTTTTTCCCCTTTCTTTTGTTCCTTCTTCCTCTCCTTTCTTCCCTCCCCTCCCCTCCTGCACTGCTAGCTACACTGTCTGGCTCTACAGGGTTTTTCTCTTTCTTCTTTCTCTGCTCTTCCCTCCCTCCCTCCCTCTCTACCTGTCCGAGAAGCCGGCCTAGGACCTTCCTCAGGACACTACGCGCTCCCCTAGGTGTCCCCCAGGTGTCCCCGTGGGGCGCGGCCCCAGGCCCGGCGTGGGGAGCCCCGGACCCCTGGGCGTGGGCGGGGGTGGGCGCGGGTGTCAAAGTCCCCGAGGGGAGCGCGGCTTCTCCCTCCATAAAACTAATCCCTGGGAGGTGTGACTGCCCCAAAGCGCTCCCGACTACAAGGGCAAATATGTTTTTTAGATTTGGGTTTTATGGTCGGATCAGAGTTTATTTTCCATAATAGGACACCTAATAAAAAGCGCAGAGCCGGCCGGGCCTCCAGCTGGTGGCCTCGTGTGACACTTTCACTTCGTAAATCACCTCGGGGCGCCAGGTGCTTGGGCGCAGGGGACCGCGGTGGGGACGCGGCCTAGGGTCACCGCCGGGTCCGCACACCGAACACCGCACCGCCTCCCCGACCATTGTCTGGGCGCTGGCAGGACAAAGGGTCCCCACCCACCGCCCACCGCCCACCGGCTGCGGGAGGGCGCGCGGTTTACCCAGCTGGGCAGGAACAAAGGCGCGTGCTTATCTCGCCGGCAAGCGTAGGGTCAGGCGGGGGGCGCGGGGCGGGACCCTAGGTCGGGAGCCCAGGTAGCGCACTACCTCAGTGAGGGGCCTGCAGCCGTCTGCCTGCTGGGTATTTGGGAACCACGACGGTAACCCAGGCGCGCAGGCCGTGTCCCCAGGGCACTTGGGGAGGCTCCCTGCTTGGGTTGGGCTTGCACCAGGGATGGAGGCCTGCCGGACATGGGATCCCCCTGGCACAGAGAAGGAAAGAAAAAAGCTGAGGCTCCTAGGACGCCCCTGGGGAGTCAGGGCGCAGGGGAGAAAAGCCAGGAAGACAGAGGAGGAGTGGGAACTGTCCCCAGCCTGGACATGGCCGCTGTGAAGTGGTAGTCGTGTGCCTGCTGTTGGATTTTAATGTTCTTGGTCCTCCCAATTTGGATCCTTCCAAGTTGCTTCTTCTATGCCGAAGAAGAGAAGTGAAGAAAGGGAGGTGCTGTCTGCGTGGGGCAGGGGAGTGGTGCAGGGAGGGATGAGCCTGCCTCTGCCTCCTGTGGGCTCCCCAGCCGGCTGCCAGCTGAGCACTCTGCACCCCCAGGTCCCCACAGCTCTGCTTATCCGGGTCAGAGGCCAGCGCTGAGCAGGAAGTGCCAGGGGTTTGTTGTGCAGTTTTTGTGGAGCTGGGGACAGAAGCCAGCCCCCCTGGATGCTGCACCCGCCCTATAGTGGCTGACCCCAGAGGAAGGCTGTCTGTCTCCTGCCCTGCAGTGTGCAGATGCCAGCTGTGTGCACCCCCATTCCCAGGACAAGGCACCTGGTGACCCTCGTTGATGATCTCTGACCCATGCCTGTCACCTGCAGAGTGGAGATGGTGAAGGCCGTCTGCACACTGGGCGAGTAAGAGGCTACACGTCTCCCCATCCTGGGGCTGAGGGAGACAGTGAAGGACATGGGACGAACAAGAGTCAGTACCGCACAGGGACAGACTCATGGCTGTGGGTAAGGGCACAGCTCACTGGAGCTCACGGCCCCAGAGCAC